ATCGTAAAACTCTATTTATGAATGGTTGACACATTATATTGTGGGTCTCACAACATAATAAACCCGCTCGTATTAAAAAAAATTAAACAATAAATTATAATTTTTAAATAATAAAATAATATAAAAAAGTATCTAAAAAGAATTACAAGTTGAAAACTACACATTGGTTTTAGAGAATTTGAGATTAATCGAAGTAATTTTTATGTTAAAAAATGAGAATTGGACATGAAGAATGAGAAAGAAGAATTATTAATTGAACAAGAGAATGTGAAAGTTGAGAATAATGCTTAGAATAAAAAAAAAAAAAAAAAAGTATTTCTTCTTTGAGTTGTGCTGATTTATCATTGTTTAGGAACATAATTAGTCTTGTTGTTAAATTATTTTGCATCATGTTTTTCATTGTGATTGAAATATTGTGGGTTAAAGTGTATGGATAGGACAATATTTGTCACCGTGATTGAGAAATTTCTAGACAATTCTAGAAGGACAATAATCTGACCAATTATGGGCAAAACAACAATAATTTCTCAGTAGGATTATGAATTTTTGTTTTTCTAAGCAAACGTCATATTTTGTAATTCTAATTCAATGACTGAAAAAATAATTATTTGTAAAAAAAATCTGAATCATAACTTTTAAAAAATCAAACTAACAGATTTGTAAATATATTATGATAACTAATATTTGCATTACTTATCGTAATACTCAAATTTGACTAAATCATACCTTTTAAAATCAAACTAACAGATTCATAAATATATTACGATAAAAAATATTTACATGAAGATATAGAATAACACAACTAATATCCATATTATCGCAACTAATATGGAATAAATTTATGTTTTTTTTTTTTTGAAACAGTTATGATCGTCTTGGAAATAATAGTATTATATTTAGAGAAACCAGACTTAGGCAAAAAACATTCAACTCCATTCGGTGTTTTTTCCTGTTCTTAATTGTTGCATCAGTCACCGTACTTGTACTTGATGGAATATCATCTCTCTTTTGCTTACAACACTTTCTCTTGCAAACGTAGTGATGAACTAGATCCAATTTTTTTTACCGTCTTACTTGGCAACAATCATAGATACATCTGCTTACAACACTTTCTCTTGCAATGGAACCCTCAAGAAAGCACCATCTAATTTTATAATTGGCATACATGTAGTTTTCAAACCTTCTTTCATAGCGAAAACACAAATAATTTTTTTTGAATTTCTTCTACCTTCCTCGTCTTCTTATGTTCCAAAGATGACAATATTGTTATTATTGCATCTTCTTAATTCAATTGCATAATCTACTAACCTCTTAAACTCATTCTTTATATCTCCAAAATACATCAAACTCATTGAATTCTTTGCATGTTTAGCTTGCGATCTAATAATCTAAATATGTCGAGTTTTAGATAGTATTGTCTTTTATAATCTCATGCAACTTCTTATTCAATGTAGTTCTTATAAGATCTTTCACAAAATTATCTTGTAACTAATCTTAAAATTTGTGAATGATCCATAACATGTGTGCTCATTAAGGTAAGTCTTCATCATCCTTTTCTTGATCTTCCCATCAATAGAGATCAATAGCTTTCAAGGATATTTTTCATTTTTTTCAAATAGTTGTATATCCGTAATTGTCATTTTTAAGAATTTTTAAATCTCTCCCGCTATCGATGGCAAACTTAATGATAGTAGCTCAACTTAATGGTAGCAGCTCTCACTTTCTTGTTGTTCTTAAAAATTATGTGTAGCTAGAAATAAGGAACTTAAATTGATAGGTCATAACCGACCAATTTAGTTCTCATTCTTATACAAAATTCTTCATCAAGACTTGGAGATGTTTTCCTCTCTTTCATCTAAACTATAATCTTTCTCGTTCATTTTAGCTTCAAGTTTGCCTAACTTTTCTATTAGTTTCCTTCTCTCCTTATTATTCATTACATGTACTCGGATCATTCAAGTTTTCATTCTCTCCACGTTCCTTGTACTTTTCCAATCATATTTCCCCCTCCCCAATTCCCTCCATATTTCCCATCACACTTACATTAACTTCATCACACATTTCTTTTATCTTTTTTAACATTTTCTCTAACTTTTTATGCTTCATCAACATCTAACATTCACTACACATCCATCCAATAATTAGCATCTTCAACGTTATCGTATGGATCCTTATTTAGCTCCACCACACTCTTTTTTTGGATATTATTATTACTCTCACCTATTTTCGCACATTGATCGTCTTTAAAATCATTTAAGTGGACACTACTATTCTCATCAATATTGACAACACCATGCTCACCTCCATATGGACTTTACCATCCTCATATATTTCCTTTACAACAGAATCCTCACCTAAATGGAAAGTACTACTCACAACACAATTATCAATAACACTATCAACATTTATATTTTCAATTTTCTATTCAAAACTAGGCTTACCAATCCATTCCTCATGTTCACTTATTCCAAGCCGGATATATGCAAGTTTTAGTTTATCAAAACCAAGCAATGCTCTCTTTGCTTGTATGTCAACAATCATTCCTTCACTCAAAAAAAATTAATTAGAGGTAAACAACTCATATTATCCTTAACTTCCTTGCTTAAGACTTTGTTCAAAACTTAATGTAGAGTCGGATATCCCGTAAAAGACAACCTTATATTTCTCATACTCATGTTCCTCAGCCATTTCTAATACTCCTTTAAATTGTATTAAGTAATAATCAATAATAACCTTTTATTCACTAAAAGACAAACTAACCACTTTTTGTAACTCTCCCCCAACATAAAATCTTAAAATTGATATTGCAACTATTACATCAATCGAAGAGAAATAAAGGCAAATATATATATATAAAGTAAAACCATTTGGTTACCGGAATTTAATCCAAAATACTTTGATTTCAGCTCTTTCGACAACAATGTCAATTACATATACCAACAATGTCTTTTTGAAATGACAAGAGCGGATGAAAATTAAAAAGATTATTGAAAATTAGGGTTTATTTGAAATATTTAAGAGTATTTACAAAAGAAATAGAGAGGAGATATAGAGAGAACGATCAAAGAATTAGATTAGAAATAATTGGAGATTCAAATTGGTCTTTTCTGCTTTTTTTTTTTTTTTTTGTATTATTATTAGAAATAATTGGAGATAGATGTATTAGTCTTTTCAACCTTCTTTCTTTTTTTTTTTTTTTTTTGCATGATTTTATTCTTTAAAAATTAGTAATTTATTATTTAAACCTTTTTTTTAATAAATAAAAGTTTACTACATTATGGAACCCACAATATCACTTCAAAAATTAGAAATTTATTATTTAAACATTTTTTTAACACATAAAAGTTTTCTACATTGTAGAACCACAACATCACGTATGAATATTTTATAAGTAGAGTTTAACAGCAGCCTACCACATCAAATTAAAAATAAACAACATCATGATGAAAGATCTCAAAGCAAAACTAAATGAAGAGTAAACAGTCTCAATCAAACCAAAAAATAATAAAAGATCTTCATTAAAAAATAGAAGAGTACAAGATTCATAAATGGGAAAAACCCTATCGGAAACTATTTCCTCTACAATACCCACTTTCAGCACAGGAATAAACTCTCTTGCCCCGTAAATGACATGAAATGTTGGAGCTGAACAAATTTCATGAAAGTAGTTTCAATGCAAACCTGCTATAACCAAGCTATCTGTGATCACGTATTGCACGCTTTACAAAGCATCTTAAGGTATACACTCACTTTTCGGATTGTTGTTAGCCAGCTATCATATAAGAAACAAAAGAAGCACAGACTCTGATAAAAACTCCATTTCTGCCTAACAATTAACTTTAGTTCCTACCATTAGTGTCCATGTCTCACATCCCATTTTACAAAAAAACGACGAGTTCTAGCATATACCTAACAAATATATACACATAACAGAGTTATCATCTGCAGGCAGGAGCTGAGATACACAAAGGTCAAGCTATGGAAAAAGGTGGGGCTTGATTCAAAGGAATTGCATCAATAGGAAACCTGCAAGTTGCAGAAAAATGAACTTCAAAGATATGCATGAAATTACAAATAAAGGTGTTCATTCAATATCATGGAAATGATAAACCGAAGTAAATCAGCCTTTTAAATTTAATTTGAACCAATCTATTTCGAGTTCAATTCAGTTAAGTCTATGTTTCAGAAGACAGAATAAATTTAATTTAGTTTGTTTGGATTTTCTCCACAACCTAAATGTCTGTTACAATATTGATAATGGACAGTTCGCATTAACATATTTGTTTTGTATGATGTTTACATCTAAATTTATACACAATTGAATTGCAAATACTTGTATCGTAACCAGCTCACATGAGACCATTTCTTACATGTTAAAATATATTTAGTCTGCCATGCATTTTAATTGGGTAGAATGTTACTGACTGAAACTAATCCTACAGCTCTAATCCAGTTCAAGCATCAAACATTGAATAAGTTCGAAACAAGTAAACCAAACCAAACCAAGCCAAGCCACATGCTTAATAGAGATTTTACCTGCCATTTTTTCTTTTTTTTACTCTTATATAAGCATATCCTTCTCTTATTATGGACCAGTCAAAATCTAAGTTGAAGGATTGTACTAAAATACAAAATTCAACGAAAGGAGTACATTCCCCCAGAAAAAAAGGGGGGGTGGGGGTGTGGGACAAGGGGGTTTCTTCAGTACCTTCTAGGTTACTTCCAGGAAAATAGAAGGTCAGGTGGAAGATGATACTTTTATATTGATGATATCTTCTAGGTTACGTCCGGAAGAATTGTTCTCGGCAAACAACACAGCTTGTGTGATGAATTATGGTAGTTATTTATTCATGACACTGTCAAACCCATAGAGCATCCAGAAAACACATGCATATATAAATTAATTTCCGAGAAGAAATATTCAACATCATGTATGATCCACCATAAGCAAAAATTAATAAAAGAACACAGCAGCAAGTGCACAAAAAAGAAATCAAAACTTACTGGGCATCAGTGTTCACATTTTTGCTAGCTTTTTTCTTGTTCTTCCTCCTCTTTTTGGCTGAGCTAGAACCAACATCAATGTCCAGAGGCTGTTCTGAAACAGGATGCACAAATGCAATAGGAACAGGAATCGGTTCAGAAGCTGAATCTGTTCTCGATCTCTTTAACTCATGGTGGGGTGGATGCACTCCTGAAGCTGCAGGTGAACTTGCACTAACTGATGCAGCATCCCTAACAATAGCAGTTCTAACCTCTTGCTCTTGACGGACTGTGGTCTCAGAACAAGATTCAACTTTTACTCCCATAGGCACAATGTTGGGTTGGGAATGGCTTGGGTCCTTGACCCTATCCAATGCGGCATAGAGTTTGCTTTTAGACTTGATTATTTCATAAAGAATTTTTGATGACCCAGAATCATCTGTTTCACAGTTTGAATTAGTCAACAACACACATGATATACACAAAAGGGAAATACAAAACATCTGTAATACCAAGCTAAGGGTACCTAGAAGTGAGAGGATCACAGTACGTGCTGCCAATTGTTCAGCTTCTTTCTTGTTTCTGCCAGTATTACCAGTGTAACTCACACCATTGAAAACCAAAGTAGACACAAACACAGGCAGCAACCCTGGTGGCTGAACAGTGTTATAAGTAGGCATTTTGAGATTCATCTTCACCGCAAATTCATTCAGAATGGATTTGCAGAACACTGTGTCCTGCAAAAATAACGAAACAAGAAAAAGGAGGAACATGTGGAAAAGTAAGAAGCAAGATCAGCATTCTTGTTAATACTCAGTGCTAACTGGGCTATTCCAGAGTCACCTTCACTTCAAATTCATACAGACAGAGTTAGAAAATTATAACCAAACAATGAAAATGATAAGCATGTGGAAAGGTAAGACGCAAAGCATCATTTTAACCAAAAGGGCACCAACATACCAAAACCATCTATCTATATGTAATTAGTGTAAAAAACATTATACTTCAGATCAATGCATTTTTCTATTCATTTATTCGCATCAATAAGAAGGGATTTTAAAAAATCAATGATAGTGTAGAATGAACTGTGAATCAAGTGCTGAAATATGATGATCAGCAATATTACATCAGAGGCAACATTCCTTGAACCTAGTGAACAAATTTCCCAAGGAATACAGCATTGACTGTCAAGCAAACAGTGGAAGAGAGATCTATACATTGACCTGAAGAACAAATAGATAACCCTTGATGATCCATTTGGAAAAATAACTATTATTGCTTTGAAAATGGAGGGATGCCATGTAGGTTGTCACAACAAGAACTTACACTTTGGAAGAATCTCATTAGCCTAAAATACAAAACTAACATATGCATGAAGTCCCCAAAGACCAACAACAAAAAGAAGAAGAAGAAAAGAAATAGTAGCGTTTCACAACATAAAATTAAAAATTGCTCACAAACCTCCTGTAGAAGCGGACATCCTTCATCCTTTACTCTTTTTAGAATACTCTCAAGTGCGAGCTTTGCCACATCTTGTTCAGCTGCTTTTCGATGTGAGAAAGTGTTTGGAGAGGTATATTGTGCTCCATCTACCCACACAGTCGATCTAAACCTCGGTGCATGTGAGGATCCTTCATTAAAAGTTTGATATACTGGAAGCCGTAAGGATGCTCTTTGGGTGTATTCTTGCAGACGATTCTTGCACATAAAGTGCTCTGGAAGGCCTGAAAAAATTCATGCAATTAAAATTTCAACTCGTCGGCATTATCAAATATCTTCAAACTTTAAGCAATTATACATAAAATATCAAATTCATGCAAGCAACAAACTAAATGTGAAATATCAAAGGCACCCGGGTGGGCATCAAATACAATTAAAAGTCCTAGATACAGAAAACTTAATACCTCGTGCTCTTTATGTCTCTTGTTCGTGAAAAATTAAAACGGTTCACAAAGCAAGGTGCACAAGGCCATCTGCAAGCTTGTGCCCGTAAATTCAATGACATTGTGGTAATAAAAATCATAGGATTTCAAGAATGACAAATAATTAATTTTACATTCTCAATAATAGTAGAGTGACCTTTTACTGAACCCAGTCAAACAAATCTTATATCAAACAATAAATGCTTGCTCCTTAATCAAGCAATTATTCAATAATATCAGTCTATATACACACCTCTAGCAATTATTCCAGGAGCATTAAATGATTCCTCTTCATAGTCAAGTAGAGAGATTTATTCAACTAACAAAATGCTTTCCTATTGTTTTATTACAATTTCTGCAAATAGTGAAACGAGCACTATTTAGGCCTAGTAATTATTACTCTAAATAACAAATAACACCACCCCTATCTCAAAAACGAAAGCGATTATTTTGCCATTGAATAGCCCAGAAAAAACAAAAAGACAAAAAGTCCCTTTTTTTCTTTCTCGTAGGAGACAAAAAAATATTCCTTGCTAATATTTAATCAACCTAATAAAACACATTAACGAGGTATAACTAAACTGCCAAAAGATTCACCCAAGGAAATATTTTTCTTCAACTTTCTTTTTCTTTCGGCTTGTTTCCTGAGAAAATGGGAAAACAAAAGAAAAAAAAATCCCAGAAAGCTATAAGATACAAACTTTTAAATCCCCACAAAATAAAATCTCAAACAGAAATCAACCCAACAAAAATCCCAAAAAGAAACAAAATCTAACACTCAAAACCCAAAATTTTAAACAAAAACGCAAACCCATAAAAAACTTATCATTTTTCTCTAATTGCTTTTAGAAAGTGAAATATTTTCAGAAATGCGAGACTTACGTGGAGTAGTAGAGGCAGGCGGAGCCGGAAGTGGAGTAGGGTCCGGAATCGGAGCTGGATTTCGGGTCGGGTCAGGGTGTGGTGCCGAAGCAGGAGCTATTTCCTGAGCTGGAACTGGATGCAGAGCCAAGCCAAGAGTAGTAGAAGGAGATACAGCCTCGGGTGGATCCAGAGCCTGAGGTGGAGCCAGAGCCGGAGGTGAAGTTGTGTTAGAGAGTTCGGGCAGGGTCGGATTATCCATGATTAAAGATGGGGTTTAAGAAAGTGGAACGGTTAAGTGCATATGTGTCTGGTTTGGAGAGGATAGAATGCTAAATACTGACAAAGGCGGGCGCTAGTGAATCTCTCATGCATGACTCACCTTGTTTTTTTAATAGGGTAGTTTTAAATATTGATTTATATGATAGGGTAGTTTTAATCCTATTTTTTATAATAGAATAGTTCATGCCACTTAAACTCTATTCTGTGTTATTTTTTCTTAATTATTAACCTAAAAAAAAAAGAATATCTAATTGTCTAATTGGTTTATATCTGGCAATAATCGAATAGTTCATGATTAAGCAAGCTGCCATTAATTTTATTAGTTTTTTTTTCGGTATTGTCTAATTGTTTTATATCTCGTAATGTTTAGAATAGTTTAAGAATATCTTTTAATTATGAAAGATGCTGTTATTTTCTTTATATTATTTTTAACAATATAATTGTACTTGTGATCAATGCACTTAACATTTTGCGAGCAATAGCTACTTGATTTTGTGAAGAAAAAAGATGTGTGTGTTGGAGAATTTGTTAAGAAAAAAAATTGTTGAATTTGCTACTAAGTTCATCAATTGGCTCGCATTTTTATATTTTTGCTTGCTAGTTTTTGAAAAACAATTAACTTATTTGATATTAGAAAAAGTAAAAAAAAAAAAAAAAAAAAAAGAAGATTCAAGGACAAAAAAATAATTTAGAAACTCTTCTTCACAATTGCACACATATTACTTGTGGTTATGGACACTAAGTTGGGGTGATATTTATAATGATATAAAATAGAAATTGTATCTGAAGAAAGTTTTGAAAAGAATTTAGTTGGAAAAGGAGGATACAAATATAGAGAGAGAAAAAAGAAAAAAAAAAAAAGCAAGAATATAGAAGAGAAGATCATAAAAATTATTTGTCTTCTCCTTCCGGTTTCATCATTTTGTTTTCTAAGCCAAAGATTTGAAATATATATATTTTAATGACATGTACAAATAATAAAGTTCAAGTGGTATAAAATAATCTATTATGGAAAATAAGATTAAGAATATTTTATTTTGAGAATAAAAAATTTAAACTACCTTATTTTGAAAAAAAAAAAACAGGCTCATTGGACCTAAGATGAGAAGTATTTGACTTAAATTGGAAAACCAAATTGAATCGACTCGAAATATCATTTTGACTTTGAACTCAAAATTTAAATTAAAAAAAAAAACCAAATTTATTTAGATTTTTTAGTTTTAGTTTGGTTTCTTAAATTTTTTGTTTGGTTTAAACAAAAAATTAATTTTTGTAAATAATGTAAACCAAAAATCAAGACTTTTAACATTATTATAGATATACACTCGGATCAATAGTGTTTTGGATGACATTTATAAGTTTTTAATTTTTATTTGCTTATTATATGAATTTTTCAAACTTGAATATTTTGATATATTATTTGGCTTAATAGCTTTTTTTTTCTCTTTTTTTTAGCAAGGAATGTCAATTCTTGAAAGTTAATGGATCATTGGCTTGTATGTCTATTATGACCGAAGATCTTAATAATTAATATCATGTCTTTTTTGTTGATTTAATACTATCTATTTTATTTTATTTTATTTTATTTATTTATAAATAGATTGTATTATTATGGATCATGAAGTTATGATTTATTTAAACAAATATTTATTATCTTTCATACAAGTTAATTTAGACTATTTGGGCTATAAAAAGACTCCATGATCCTTTTTCTTGTCATTTATATTATTTTAAAATTTTGAAAAAAATTGGTTTTCACCAAAAACCAAATAGGAATTTCGTTTGGGTTTAGTTAACCAAAATATTAAAAATTAGACGGATAAACCAAATACTCACCCCTAATTATACCAAATTGAATCAATTGGTGTTAGATATAATTGACTAGGTACATTTGTCATGGAACATCAGAAGTGGTACTCTTTGTCATGGGTTCCAACTTTTCTCAATAAGTTGTGGACTGATTTTTAAAAAGTTGGGAGAGTTTATAAGCTAGATTATAGGTAAAGTTTAGTACGAAGAACTTGAGAAAGACATACATTATAGTTTTACTGGATTTGAATCGTCTCATGTTTCTAAAAACATACAAAAAGAGGGTGGGATTTGAAGTGCATTTTGGAGTCCAATAAAGATGCACACACGTCTTTCATGGATGACTTGTTTTGTATGGCCTAATACGTTGTAATGATTTATGATTTCGACCAAGAATTGAATCAACAAGTGCCTAAGGATATTTGTTGTGAAACATCTTGGACTATTTTTAAAAAAGTCAGAAGTTATAAAGGATTTGAGAATATAATACATTCTACATTCACTTGGATAGCGAATTATCTCATATTTCTAAAAAATTATAATCGATCAATTGTTCTACATTTTATTATTAATTTTGAATTCAATGGTTTAGATTATACAAAGAAAAAAAAATCTATTTTAAAATTGTTGTCATTTGACATGACCTCGATGCATTTTACTTGTATTGATATTTGATGAGCACACAAAATAGGTTTAAAAACAATTATGCATTATTTTCTCTCTATGTTTAAAATTTTCTTATAACATAATCTTTATCATTTATTTTTTAAATTTATTTTGATTTTAAAAAAAATAAAAAGAAAAAACATGAAAGGATTTACTAGAAAGAAATGGCACTTTTTAAAATAATATAATATTTAATTAAATACGATTAATACTGATTAAATAACTAATTTTTAAATAAAGAATTATTTAATTTGTTTCTAAAAAATAGAGGGATTGTATAATTTTACTCATCATATTTGCGAGTGAGATGTATGAACGAGAGAGAGGGAACGTCTTTAATCCACCAAAAATACAATAGATTAAGATGTTAAGACCTTCGGTTTTAAAATTTTTTTATTTTAGTTTCTATTGTTGTAAATTATATTAACTCAGAATGGTTATTTCGATAGTTAACAGATGTACTTTCTACGTATCCATTGTGATTAGTATTTAAATCTTAAACCAGATTATAAAAATAAATTAATTATTTTCTTTGTTTCTTTATTTTTAGTTATATATATCTGTCCCAAAACATTTGTTTGGTCAAAATTTTAAATAATATATATTTTTTAAATACCCCTAATTAATAAAGAAAATCAATTTTTTTTTTCATTTTCAATTCTTTACTAATAAAAAATCAATAATACTTATATTTTTTTATACATACAAATATCTTCAACATAAAAATTCATAAAAAGCATTCATTCTTGTAGAGATTTTACTACACGTTGAAATTTTGAAATTATTATATTTCCATTGATATGTTATTTTTTCATAATTATTTTAAATTTCATTGTTAATTAAAGTAATAATTTTTTTAAATTTACCACTTTAATTTTTGATATATTTTATTTTTAAATTAATAGTGGTTCCATGTAATGCATGACTAAATTTGACAACTAACACTTTTAACAAAAAAGATAATTTAGAAAAATGTGAATAAAAAATACTAATATGAGATAATAATTAGTAATTTTCTCAAACCGTTAAAAAGTTGAAAGGAATAATTTCTTTGGGACAAAGAGAGCATATGAATTTTAGATTTTTTGACATCATCTAGCGTCGTGGCAATATGTAAAAAAAAAAAAAATTATCCTCACAACGTATTATTCACTCTTAGGTTTTTTTATTAGGGACGGATGGTGATTTCGACATATTTTATCCAACTCTAAAAAAGCCAAAAAATAAAAGGAAAGGGATATATATATATATATATATATATATATATATATATATATAGAGAGAGAGAGAGAGAGAGAGAGAGAGAGAGAGAGAGAATGTTAAGTTAATTTAACAAGTCTCTCATCCGATAGAGACCGATATTATTAATTGAATCAAGTTAATCACCCTTGGTAATTATGTCGTTCTCTAACATACCAATTATGTCGAGACTTAAGCTGAATCCAATGTTGAATTGACAAGACTTCTAACATTGGAATCCGATAATCGATTCAATATAATGTCATAAACGAATAATAATAATTTAGCTTAGATGAGAAACTTGAAAATTCGCTTAGAAATAATTTGGCGAAAAACAATTTTTTTTAAGAGATAAATTTTTAGGATCGGATTAGACGTGGTATCTTTTCTAAAAAATGATGTCTTTAAGTAATTCATATGTTTTAAAAAACATAATCAATTCCTTACCTTAAAATTTTTGAACCAATATCAATTTTAGGTATCCTAGTTTCTTTTAATGCTAGTTGACGACTCCAAGATCAATAATAACTCACACGAGGCCGGCTTTATAATATATGTGGCCCTAGGCAAAATAATATTTTAAAGACTCTTTCATAAAATAAATAAATATTAAATATTATTTAAATTTTATTTTTCTTACTTTCCGAGATACAAAATCTCTAATTAAATTGTTGTATTAAAGTTTATAGAGAAAATCTTTTTCAATTGATAATATAGCCAAATCACTTAATCTTTCTTGTAACATAGTTAAATGTAAAAATTTTTTTATTAATTTTAATTTTAAAAACTTCTTTCGAGTCCAAGCTACGATAACATGGATAGTTAATAATATTCTATATGATATTCATGCATTTAGAAAAGAAGTTACCTTTTTTATAAAATTTAGTATGGCAAGTGGTGTTTTCATTTCCATAGTTATATTTCTTTTAAAACTTTTAATTCTGAAAATAAATCTAAACTATCAATATCGGAAAGCATATCGTGCTTTAAAAATTTTTCAAGATTTAAACTTTTTTTTCAAAATATCATCATCCGGTGATTTTAATTTTTCTACACTATAAAGAAAACCAAAATTATCTTCATATATTTTGAATTGTTCAAACCTATTTTGAAGAGAGAAAATCGCATGATCAACTAAATATGTAAAATAATTAATTCTAAAATATTCTTTAACAAATAATTTCATGTCTTCATTTTCAATCTCATCAAATTGTTTCTTTCTTATTGTACGCTTTTCACAAAATTTTGGTTCTATATTCATTTGCT